CAGGAGCCCAATGTGCGTCTCATCGCACTCTATGACAACGAGGAGGTGAGCGAGGGGCACAGCCATGGGGTGGCTGGCACCGTAAGGGGCTCCATGTTCTCTGCTCTTCCCCAGCCATGCCTAGCAGGAGAGAGATCCCACACCCCAGTGGAGGAAGCAGGGATTTGCTTACACCCACATGGAGCATGGCCCAGGCATGGGTGGGAAGCACTGGTGTGGTAGGAAGCTGCTTTGCTGACTTTAGGGAGCCCCCTGTCACTCATGTGGCCCCTGTGGTGCTGTGGGGTAGTGCTGATGGTGATCCTTGGCAGGTAGGATCAGAGAGTGCACAGGGCGCAGAGTCCTTGCTAACAGAGCTGGTGCTGCGCCGGATCTCGGCATCGCCACACAACCTGACAGCCTTCGAGGAGGCAGTGGCCAAGTCCTACATGATCAGTGCTGATATGGCCCACGCTGTGCACCCCAATTATGTGTGAGTAGTCTGAGTCATGCCACAGGCGAGGGCAACATGCCCTGCCACCTGTGGGACGTATCCCCATCACTCCCCAGGTAGTACAGACAGAACAGTCCTTGTTGCAGCAGGGAGGGAAGGCTATAGTGTAAAACTCTTCCTTTTTCAGGGACAAGCATGAGGAGAATCATCGTCCAGCCTTCCACAAGGTGAGGGCAGCCCTCTACTTTGGTCTGGGATGGTTGCTGTCTGTCTGTCCTGCAGTGCTGTGGATTGCCCAGCTGCTCTCAGGGTACAACTCAGGAGCATTCAAATGGGAAACGTTTATCCCACAATGGGACTTGACTACATGTCTGATGTTAATCACTTGGGATCCCAGTCTTGTCCATAGAGCTCCTCCCTGCTCTGAACTGGGGCTGTCCCCACAGAAACACTGTCTCCATCCCCATGGGCTCATCCAGGAAAGGGCGAATGGACTGATATGTTGGGATGGTACAGCATTGCTTGGGCATGAGTGTTTCCGGGGCCACTGACTATTCCTGGGTCCCGTCATGGACCTGCAGTGCCTTCCTCTGTGCAGGGCCCTGTCATCAAAGTGAACAGCAACCAGCGCTACGCCTCCACAGCTGTCACTGAAGCTGTAATCCGGGACATTGCCACTCGCGTGGGTGTCCCTCTGCAGGTGAGCAGGGCAGGGCTGAGCTTCAGCTCCTTCAACATCGAGTTCGGGCTGCAGCCCTGCCCCTGGGTTCATCAGAGGGGGCCTGTGCCAAAGCTCCACCCCTGCTACCATGTCTGACCCCGCTGGGGTCTCTGTGCTGCCTGTTGCTCTGGGGCTCCAGCTCCAGGCCTGCCTCAGGGAACAGGCTGGTGGAACAGGATGGGACCCTGGCCTGAGTGTGTCCTATCTCTGGAACAGTTTTTGAATCCTGGTGTGGGTCGTTTCTGCTTCCCTGTCCCAGGTCTCCTCCCTTCAGGGCTGAGGGCCCTTGTGGGAGGCCGTGGGGCAGCACGTGGAGCTGCTGTGGTCTTGCCCCCTTGCAGGAGTTCATGGTGCGCAACGACACACCCTGCGGCACCACCATCGGCCCCATTCTGGCCTCCCGCCTGGGGCTGCGTGTGCTGGACATTGGCTGCCCTCAGCTGGCCATGCATTCCATACGGGAGATGTGCTGCACCTCGGGGGTGCTTCAGAGCATCAGCCTCTTCAAGGTGAGATCTGTCCCCCCTATCCTGTGCTAAAGCCTGCTCCTTGCTGCTCTACATCTCCCACATCCCAGTGTCCCTACCCAATCCCTGCTTTGGGGCTGAGCCCAGCCGTCCCACAGAACTCCTCAGCTCTCTAGAGCAGCTCAGGTACTGGCTGCTTCCGGAGGTGCCCCCTCTCATCCCAGCCTTCCCCAGTGACTGCCATCCCTAAGTAGTTCCTATGGCAACCGGTGCTAGCCTTGAGTCAGCGGTGGGTTACTATGGCGACGTAGTCCTGATCTCTGCAAGTAGCTGCCTACTATGACGCTGTGACAGGGAGCTGCTGCCTGCCCCCACCACCTGTCCCCCCACCCTGCACCGCCTTGCTAAGCCCACCCCGATTAGCCTCTCTTCTTCCAGGGCTTCTTCGAGCTCCTGCCGACGGTCAGCAGCAGCCTGGTGGTCGACTGAACATGGCGGGGAGGGAGTAGCAGTGGGTTTAGTCCTGGGGCCATTAAAGCATTTCTGTCTCAACCAGCGAGTGGTCCATGACTGTGGCTGGGGCTGACGTACGTGGCTCCCCCTGGGGACTCCCGTGGCTTTCGCTTGTGCTCTCCCCTGGAACCGTGAGCGAGACCTATTCACCCATAGACAATCCTTTGTCGAGGGGTGCTGGGGGTCTCAGCTAAGGGGCAGAACAGGGCTTGGCTCATGCCCAGGGAGAGCTGGCGGGAGGATGTGCCCTGTCTCGTGCAGCGCTGGGGCCGCCCCTTTCCCCAGGAATGATTCTGCCGTGTGCGCAGGGATATGCCGGCACGAGACCTGAAGCTGCTCGCTGGGGCCGGGGGCTGCCCGCTCCCCGCGGCCGGTGCCCGGCCGGTGCTGCCGGGCGGGGTACGAGGGTGCGGCTCTACGCTCGCCGCTCATTGGGCGGCTCTCAGGGGCGTGTCCCACGTGGGAGCCAGTGTGGCCACAGGGCTGGGAAGGGCCGGGCGCTGATTGGCAGGGCCACTGCTGGCGCTGTGGCACACCTCCCGGGGGCGTGGCTCGTCCCCGGGGACGCTGCGATTGGCGCGGCGCTCGGCCGCCTCCCCCTGGAGCGAGGCGTGATTGGCCCCGCTGGACAGCGGGGGGCGTGAGCGCGGCGCCAGGGGCGGCCGCGCGGATCTCTGATTGGCCGCGGCGCAGAGGGGCGCGGCAGCGCGCAGCGCGCCATTGGCGGGGCGGCGGCGGCGGGCGGGGCGCGCGGCGCGGCGGGGCGCGGGTTGGCGGCGGCGGCGGGGGCGCGGCCGGCGGGTGCGCCATGGTGCGGCCGTGAGCGGAGCATGGGGCGGCGGCTCCTCCGGGCGCTCCTCTGCCTCCTCCTCCTGGCCGGCCGCGGGCAGCTGCGTGACGGTGCTGCTGCCGCCGCCACCGCCGCACACGGTGAGACCGCGACCCCGGGCAGGGCGGCTTTGCCCCGGGCTGAGCGAGGGCCGGAAGGAGATTCCTGGGGAGTGGCGGGGCACGGAACTCCGCGGCCGGTGCGGTCGCCGCCGCTGTAGGGTGCTGTCACAGCGTGCAGCGGCGAGTCTGGCCCCTGGCGGATAGCGGGACAGGGCGCCCCGGGACCGGCACCGCGAGCGCGCCATTGGCACCGGGGGCGCCCCTCTTCCGGGGCTGCCGGGCCGGTGCGAGTGCCAATCCCCGGGGCACCGCGCCGGCTGTAGAATTGCCGCCCCGCCAGGCCCGAGAGCTACGGGAGCAGAACAGTGCTTGCTCATGCCCGGGGCAAAGCCAGTGCCTGGGGCTGCTGCAGGGATGGGGAGACCGGGCCCACGCTAAGCGTGGCTTCCTACGAGATCATGCCGCCCTTTAGCTGCCCTCCGCCAGTAAGTGCGGCCCACCCGGGCCGGCGCACCGGCTCTTCTCCAGGTCGGTCCGTGTGGTCCGTGCTTGGGGTCTCGGGGACCCGAGTTGTCGATAGCAGGGCTGCAGCCTCCCGGCACGGCACGGCACAGTCCCGGCACCGCTGACTCACTACCGGGCGCCCGAGGCTGCTGCGCCCCTCGTCATCCAGCGGCCCGGGAGTACCGGGACGGATCCGGCTGCACCGCGAGGGCCCCGCTGCCCCCGCCAGCAAGCACGGAATGGTTCCGGGACGGCTGCGGCCGAGCACCGTCCTGGCCCGGGGAGCCTCCCCGAGCTGGGGCCACCGCCCCTCCCGGCGGAGCGGGGCGTCTCGGCGGGAGAGTGCTGCGCCGTTTCAGCACCGCGGACAGCGCCGGCCTTGTCGACCCGGCCCGGCCCCCGCTGCCTCCGTCCCTGGGGTCTCCTCCGGCACCGAGGTCCTGTACACCGCACCTGCGTGGCCTCCGCCCCGGGCGACGCTAGCCCGTGGGCGCCGGGGTTTCGAGGACCCTCATCCCCACTAGCCCCCTTCCCCCGCGGCGGGCTTTGACGGGCCCCTCCCTCCCCTCCCCCCGGTTGTTTTCTCGTTCCTTCCTTGCCATCCGGGGCTGAGTCATCGCCTGCTGCCGTCTCGCTGCTGACGGTCTTGGACCGAAACGGGGGGGGAGAGAAAGGGGGAAGCCGCCCCCTGCCCAAGTGCTGCCCGCCGAAGGGGTTGGAGCAGTACACACACCCCACACCCCCAACAGCACTACATCTATGCTTTGGGGTCTGCCTTGCGGGGAGAGTGGATTCCAGTGTCAATGGGTTGCATCTCTTCCTCGTAGTACCACATGTAGGAGGGCAACAAATGTGGTTTTGCACATCTCTGCTGCCTCAGTCTTACCTTCCTTACTTGCCAGCACCCCAAAAAACTCCAGGCCTTCCCCACTCTCCAGAGCCAAGGACATACTTACTGTACAGCCCCCATCTTGTCTCTGAGGGGCAGAAAAGACTGGCACCGAGCCTCTGCCATGGGCTACAAAGCTGTGTCCCCTCCCACCATCACCACATTGCATCCCTGTGCTGCTTTTCTGGAGCATAGAGGTCCTCCAAGCAGCTGGTAATAAGCAAATTCCATTGGAGTCCCCCTTGGATGCTGTGCTGACTGGCTTGTCTGTCTGTTTGTCCCAGGCTGCCTGTTTGACCGAAGGCTGTGCTCCCCACAGGAGGTGTGTGTGCAGGGTAAGTGGCTAGCAGAGGTGCAAGGATCCCCTCTCCTTTCCCAAGTGTGTGTGAAGGGTACAGGGATGCCTTGCAGCGGAACCTAGGGTGCAGTGCAGGGGGGCCTGGCAGGAGAAAGGTGGGGATGTGCCTGGAGATCCTCGCGTCAGGGTGTTTGTTCATCCATTCCCGCTGTCTCCCTTCTCTTGCAGATGGGCTGTTTGGGCAGTGCCAGGTGGGCTCTGTGCAGGACAGACCCTACTTCCAGGTCACGTCTCCCGTGCTTCAGCGTCTGCAGGATGTCTTACGGCATCTCATGGCACAAGGTGAACGGGGAAGCGTGTGGGAAGTCGCTGTGACCCTGCAGGGAGGGGGTGTCAGGTAGAATTGCCTAGTGGCTCTAGAGCTGTCTGTGGTCCTGCTGGTCCAGGGGGGCTGAGGAGGAGTGGGGTCAAACCCAGGCCATGGGACACAGGGTCAGAATAACAGGATAGCATCCCATGCCCTCACATCATGGTTCCCAGGTTGCCTCTATGTCTCACAGCCTCTTCCCATGGCAGGGCTCTCATGGCAGGATGGCATCACCCAGTATGTGATCTCCCAGGAGATGGAGCGCATCCCCCGCCTCCACCTGCCACCCTCGCTGGAGCCAGTGGCCAGGGACAGGTAGGACAGTGCCAGCAGAGTTCAGTGGAGCAGCAAGAGCTTTGTCCCCAAAATGGGGTTTCGGAGAGGGACTTCCCCCTTTACCCAGGTGAGTTATGCCAACGCTGTTTGCCTTCGAGGTTCCTGCCTGTCCACAGCGAGCCCCAGCGAGCCCCACTAGCCCCAGACCCTGGTCTGCCAGCAGCTCAGCATTTGGAGCAGCCCCCTCCACTGCTGCTCTCCCCTCTGGTGCAGCGGTACCTGGAGCACGTCCTGCTGCCCTCCCCACCCCAGCTGGGGTACGAGGAGGCTCTGCTCAATCCCTACTCCTACCACAAGGTGAGCTGGGGGGTGAGCGCCTTCTCCTGGGCAGAAAAGTAGAGATTGGCAGGGAGCTGCTGCATGCCCAGCACCTTTCTGCTGGTGCTGGGGTACCCCCTGCCTCCACCATGGGGTGACAGGACCTATGGGGTTTGACATGTGTTTTGGTTGCAGTTCGGCTATCAGGATGGTGCTCACCAACATCCCAGCGGCTCAGCCAGGCAGAGCTCTGACACCTCCTCGCTGCTGGGCCGGGTCCCTGCCCAGACCCTTTTTGGGGCAGGCCCTGTGCCCTCCTATGGCGGGCAGCCAGGAGTGGATGGGGGGCATCTTTTCCAGGACTTGGGTATGCTTTCCCTGCCTAGAGAGAAAGCTGGCCGCCTGGACCCTGCCAACACCAGGCTTCAGCACAGCTTGCGGCTCCCCAGTGACTACAGAAACAAGGAGGAGAGGGAGCAGCAAGCACCCCTGGCTGCCCAGCCACCCTCTGCACAGACGGGTACCTTGTTCTCCAGCCAGGCACCAACCCTTGTCCCTATCCTGTACCCACAACCATGTTCCTTGTCACTCACACTTTCCCTCCTTTTTGGGTTTATGCCTATGGGCAAAATATACCCGCAATCCCATCTGCTCCATCTGCTTCATCCCTGGCCCCTGGTCTCCATGTGGATGCAGAGCATCCAACCTGATGCTACATCCTCTTGCAGATGCTGCCCTGAAGAGACTGGCTTCTCTCCTGGCCAGCTACGGCCTGGGGCTGCCAGAACTGAGTCCCCAGCAGATAAGCAGCCTGTCCACACTTCTCCAGCTGCTCCAGAGCTCTGGTGAGCTGAGTGCAGGGATGGGACAGGCAAGGACTGGCAGCAGCAGGTGCTAGCATGCCTTGTTTCAGGATAGGGAGTGTTGCCTTTTGGGGTGGGTGCTGCAGGACCTCTGTCTCTCTCCTTTCCAGGTGTTGCTGGCCCTCAAGTGCCCACAGCGAAACGGGTGGGTTCGCATCAGGGTGGTGCTGGAGGAGGTGCCATGGCACAGGTGGGATGAGGGGGAGGAGACATTCCCCAAGGCTGTCCTCAGACATTCCAGCTTCTCCCTTTTTCTCCCTTCAGGTGATGGAGGGGGACATGCAGCATGGAGAGGAGCCAGTGCCCCCTTCCTCCACAGTGCCACCCCCCAAAATCCCAGCCACCAGCTCCCCAACAAAGGGCAAGGCAGCATCCTCACCAGCTCCCTGGGCTGAGCCACAGCAGGGACACAGTGGGAATGCAGTCAACCCCGGAAAGCAAGTTGTGGTGGAGAAGAAGAGCTACACAGAGATGAAGGACGGTGGGGCACAGCAGGGCATGCGGCCACTGGACGAGTATGGCTACATCATCACAGACCAGAAGTGAGAGCTGGGGGTCAGGCAAGGGGGTCTGCATGTGTGAAGGGTTTGTATCTTCCCACCAGCAGCTGTCACAGCTTCACATGCTTGACCAAACCTGTTGGGTCTTTGGTAGGGTCGGGTTTCTATAGGGTCAACTCCCCCTGATCCATTCTCTACCCACAGCTCTTGTTCCACCCCAAAGCCCTCCTTTCCCAGCCCACACCAAGGCCATAGCTCACTATTGCAGGATGGAAGGTTGGGAGTGTGTGTGCACAAGTGTCTCTGTGCACACTCCTGTGCAAGGAGGGGTCAGCTCACCCATTCTACCACACATTGCCACACTCTGACTTCCTGCCCACCCTGACACCTGCTCTTGCTGTGTGCTTGGGACTTCTTGAGCCTGCTTGTCCCTGCTCCCTGACTCTGGGAAGCACGGGGCTGTCCCCTCGCCGCTGCCACCCCTCCTCACCCTGACACTGTCCCCACAGACCCCTGGGGCTGGCTGCTGGCGTGCGGCTGCTGGAGCTCCTAGCCAAGCACCTCCACCTCTCCACTGCTAGCTTCATCAACATCAGGTGAGGGGACTGGTGCCATGGGGTGCTGCAGCCTCAGCCCTGGCCATGCTCAGCACTTCCAGGCAGGGGGACAGGAGGGACTGAGCTGTGGTGAGGGTGGGTAGAGATTCTGCATTTCCAAGTCTCACACTGTGTTCCCCCTCTCCCCGGCAGCGTTGTGGGTCCTGCACTTACCTTTCGCATCCGACAGAACCCCCAGAACTTTTCACTGGCAGATGTGGCCAGCCAGACTGGTGAGTTGGGCAGTGTCCCTCTGATTTTGTTCCTCTCTTCCCCTCCCAGTTGTGGGGTGCCTCTTCCCAGGGACCAGGAAGAGAGGCCTCCTACCATATGTCCTTCTGTCTTTGGCTGAACTGGGGACTGAAGTGGGCAGCTGCCAGAGCTATCCCTTGGCTCTGTTTTGGGGGGGATCTTTTGTATGGAGGGGAAGCATGCCTCTGACCATCTTGTCCCTGTCCACAGAGCAAGTGAAGGGAGAGCTGGAGCACGAGCTGGGCCTGAAGATTGTGCAAACAGGAGTGGGAGAGGTAGGAGTGAGCAAGGATTCTGTCCCTTGGGGCAGGGGTGGCCAGGGATAGGGGAGTGGGGATACTGCCACTGGGTACAAGCCAGGAGCCCCCCGCCCTGGGGAACAAGCGTCTTTGTGAGTGAGCTGTCCCTGCAGGTCAGCTTAAGAGTAGAGGAGACTGGGCAGTGTTTGGGATGCTGTGTTGGAGATAGACTCCAGTCCTGTGTTGGAGGACTCCTGTTGTAGATTGCTCCAGTCCTGTCTGTCCGTCATCCCCCTCCACTGCCTGGCAGCACGATCCTGACCAGGGCTCTTGGCTCTTTTCAAAACAAAAGCTCCGCTGTGTTTGAAGGTGGTTTGAGAGGGACTCCCAGAGGCTTTTCTTCCCCCCAAGACTGGGGGGCTGTGAGCTGTATCCCTCAAGGCTCATCCTCACCCTTGCCTCCCTCCAGCCTGCACATCCATCTCAGCTGTGGCCTGGGCACCTGAGCACTGAGATGTTCCCAGAGCACCCACAAACCATAGCTAGGTGGCAAAATGCCATCATGTCCCCAGAGAATGGCAAAGCAACTGGAGGCAGAGATGGAACAGGAGCCATCTGTTTGGAGAGGGGTTACCCCTCCCCGTGCTCCTCTGAGGAGCCACAGGAACAGTCTCCTGGGGTGGGGAGCAGGGGTTGGAGATAGGGACCAAGCCTGGCTCCCGTGTTTGCAGCCTGAGGAGAAAAACTGGTGTAGAATATCCCCAGCCCAGTGTCCCCATTTCTCACTTCTTGTCATGTGACTGTAGTTGTGAGCAGGGAGGAAGGAAAGAAGGAAGGAGGGGGGAACTTTGGAGGAGGCCATGAAGAAAGGGTGGCGTGGCCACTGAGGCAACCTGTCTCCATCAGCAGTATGCAGAGTGTGTCTATGGCAATGCCTTTTGATGAGGCAGGGGGCAGGAACTGGGTGAGATGTCAGAGATGACAGAGATGGAGCTCAGAGGAAGCTGAGGCAGCTTTGCAAGTCCCCTTTGGCACTGACCTTTTCAGTTCTAACCATCTTGTGCTTTCCCTTCATTCCCTCCTGGCTCTGGATTTGGTGGGAGTGGTACAAGATTTGAGAAAGAGGGATGTCAGGAGACAGGGAGACAACGGCACCTGGGCAGGCCTTGGGAGAGAAATCCCTTCTGTCTCCCCTGGCTTTGCTGAGCCTCCAGAGGTTGCAGGGCTGCTCCTGCTTGGGTGTCCAGGGGAGCTGGGGAGTGCCCTGGCTGCAGGACTGGCTGAACCCTGATGACGGTTGGGTGCTGGGGGGCAGGTGGCAGCAGGGATACCTAGGCCGGGGACATCCCCAGGCAATGATGGTGATGATGATGTAGTTGATGATGGTGCAGTGTTCCCTCGGTAACCTCATCAGGCTCAGAGCCAATGGGAGGCTGTGGCAATGAAGTAATGCAGGGCTCTGGCAGCTCATTGGGCACAGGATGTTTGAATTGGTGATGCCCCAGCATCTCTCTGCTTTCCTAGCTGGATCTAGGCAGTCATGGCATTGACAGGAAGGTCTTGTCCAGCAAGGCCTGAGCAACATCCTGTTCCAGCATGGGACTGGCATGGAATGGGGTGTCTCCCACCACCACAGGGAAGGAGCCCTAGAGACACCACCTGCAAGGTGGCAGGGGATGCTCTGTGTCCTAACTGTGGAGGGCAACAGGGAGGACTTGTCCCCTAGCTGCTACAGCAGGGATGGTACCAGCAGTGCTAGCAGTGCTGGCATTTTCCCCACCCTGCCTCCCTCAGTGTTCTGCTGTGGAGCTAGGAAGAGCCAGCCTCAGCTGGGAAAGTCCCCTGGGAGTAGCACACCCAGTGCTGCAGTTGCCTATCCTACACCATTAACTCTTTGGGCTGAATTTGGCCCCTCTTGATCTCCAGCTAGGCAGAAGGAGGTAATGGAACCAAAGTTCTAAGGGGCTACTGCCTGCCTTGTAGAAGGGCAGTCCAGGCTGTGCCTGCCTCAGCAGCAGCCTTGCTTGCTGGCAGCAGGGAAGCAGTAAGTCACTGCTACCTGGGCTTGGCCAAGCTCTTCCAGCTCCAGGGACACCATTGTAGCAGTGTCCCATGTGACACGTAAGTGGGTGCACTCTGCATCACCCCAGTGACACCAGCTCTGCCCTACTGAGGGTGCTGGGAGAATCAGCACCCTCAGGAAGGAGAAAGATGAGCCCTTGCTCTGTTTTAACCCCCAGCAACCTCAAAGTGCAGCAGAATAGGGTCTCTGCCCTCCCCAGCCCCGTACTAACTAATCCTTACTTGGCTTGGTCCCCAGCGAAATGAGGCTGCTGCCTACTCACGCCCTTCCCGCTTCGGGTACGGCTTCCACTCGGTGCTGCTGACCTTCATCGCGCTGGCCTGTGTGGCGGTCATTGCCATCGCAGTGTCTGCAGCCTTCTGCCTCCGGCGCCACGCCAAGCAGCGCGAGAAGGAGCGCCTGGCTGCCCTGGGGCCAGAGGGTGCTGCCGACACCACCTTCGAGTACCAGGTAGGACCCTGCGGGATGTGGGCCCTGCAGGATGCATCACTGCCGTGTGTCAGCATCGCGAGGGGTGCATGGAGCTGCCCTATGGCTGCGCTGTGGCCAAGGGACGAGGCTCTTGCTGGGCTTCCCCAGGAGCTGTGCCGCCAGCACATGGCTGCCAAGTCTCTCTTTGGCCGCACTGAGGCACCAGCGGCACCAGCGGAGACTTCGCGGGTCAGCAGTGTCTCGTCCCAGTTCAGCGACGCTCCACAGCCCAGCCCCAGCTCCCACAGCAGCACACCCTCCTGGTGCGAGGAGCCTGTCCAGTCCAATATGGACATCTCCACTGGACACATGATCCTGGTGAGCCAGTCTGGAGGGGTGCCAGCCTCCTCCCCAGCCCTGCCCCTCGGCTGCTGGGCTGACTCCCGCCTCTCTGCCCCAGGCCTATATGGAAGATCACCTCCGCAACCGGGACCGGCTGGCCAAGGAGTGGCAGGCACTCTGTGCCTATCAAGCTGAGCCCAGCATCTGCTCCATCGCCCAGAGTGAAGCCAACCTGAAGAAGAACCGCAACCCCGATTACGTGCCCTGTGAGCATCCCAGTCACCCTGCCCCAGGGACCAGCCCCAGGGATCAGCTGTCCTGCCAGAGCAGAGTGTGGGCCGTGAGGACGCTCAGGGCCATGGCTAGTTGCAGCATTAGTGTGCCTGCAGCTCCTCTAGCCACTCACCAAGCCTCCTGGCCTGTTCCTCTAGATGATCACGTGCGGATCAAGCTGAAAGCCGAGAGCAACCCATCCCGCAGTGACTTCATCAATGCCAGTCCAATCGTGAGTGATCATTGGGGGCTCCTGCCCTGCCACCCTTCTCCTTGATGTGCCCAGCCCAGGTGAGGTTTTCACTCTGGAATAGAGCTGAACTGAAGTTATATCCCTGATGTGAGCTTTGTGCCTGCCCCATTGCTCAAACAATTGTTCAGTCCCATTTTCCTCCTGGCTGGGGCACCTGAGTCTCCCTTCCCAACCTTCCTATCACCTCTGGAGTATCCTCCTACTCCTTAAAGTGTCACCAACCCCTGGCCAAAGAGTATGAAGTCTGATACCCCCTTTCCTGCTGCAGATTGAGCATGACCCACGGATGCCAGCGTACATTGCCACACAGGGGCCACTGTCCCACACTATTGCTGACTTCTGGCAGGTGAGTGTCACGCCCATTGGGGTCTCTTTGTGTGCTGCCCACAAAATGGGTCACAGGGGCTTGCCTGCCCTCCCGCCTGGGCTGTCCCCCGGTGAAGGGCAGTGAAACTCCCCTTGCCTTGCCCACAGATGGTGTGGGAACATGGCTGCACTGTCATTGTCATGCTGAGCCCTCTGGCCGAGGACAGTGTCAAGCAGTGTGACCGCTACTGGCCGGATGAAGGCTCCTCTCTTTACCACATTTATGAGGCAAGTGTGGCAGGTAGCCTGCAGCATGGGGCACCCTCCAGCCCCCGTCTCCCTGAGTGCAGCCCCTTTGCCTGGCACTGATGCCCACGGTCTGCCTCACTTGGGCAGGTGAACCTGGTGTCAGAGCACATCTGGTGCGAGGATTTCCTGGTGCGCAGCTTCTACCTGAAAAATGTGCAGTCGCAGGAGACCCGCACCCTGACGCAGTTCCACTTCCTCAGCTGGCCTGCTGAGGGCATCCCCACCACCACCCGGCCTCTCCTTGACTTCCGCAGGTGAGCACCCACCTGGCACTGTGCCAGCCCTTGGGGAGCCAGTGGTGATCCCAAATGCAGGCCCCTCTTGATCTTGATGGGTGAGGACATCACTGCCACGATGATGAGGGTCGGGGCCATGGCATTGACCAGGTGCAAGGGCTAGGAGCTGCCATGGATGGGAGGGAGCAGAAAAGACAGATTTTGGTCAACTTGGGATGAGGCACAACAGAGTTTGGCGGGCAAGAAACCTCTGGCTGAGATTGCCAGGGTTCTCCAGCCTTCAGTGAAGGTGGGAAAGTGCTCTTCCCCAGAGCTGGCATGGAGGGCAGCACTGACCGGCACCTTCCCCAGCCATGGGTGCAAGAAGAAATCCCCAGCCTTAAACTGGCTGTGACCCATTGCTCCCAATGTCCTACAGCCAGTGGTGGATCCCCAGCTAGCCCAGGGCAAGAGCTGCAGGACTGAGACTACTCCCAGGAGACTTGCCTGCCCAGGTCTTTAGGTCCTTGGGTGGTGGTGGGCTCTTGCCAGGCACAGGCTGCTCACTGTCCCTAGGTTGTATGGGACAAGAGACCCAGCCTAGGGCAGCGGGGGGGTCTCTGAGCATGTCGTCCTCCTGTCAGTCCTGCTCACGCTCTCTCTCTCTCTCTCTGTCTGTCTCTGTCTCTCTCTCGCAGCTGCCGGTGTCATTTTTGTGATTTGCAGCTAGTAATCTGGCTCCAGTTGCATAGTCACAAAAGTGATCGTTGGCAGCCGTGCCTGCTGCATGGAGCATGCCAGGAGCCCCACCGGCGCCTGGCCCCCAGCTTCACGCCCCACCGGACCAGAGCTGCTCCCTGGGGGTCCTGCCACTGCTCCCCTCCCCAGACTGGGCACCTGAGGAACTGAACTCCTCTCCCTGCCCCGGCCACTTTCCACTCATGGTCCCCATCCCATGTCCAGCACCATTGTGGAGGCAGGAGGAGCCATGAGTGGGACCTCCAGGGCCACATCATGGTGTGCTGCTGCCCTGCCCCACTGAGCACAGCAAGGGACACCTAGCACAGCCTAGACGCTGGCACAGCAGGGCACTGATCTGTTCCCTCTTGTCCTTGCAGGAAGGTGAACAAGTGTTACCGGGGTCGCTCCTGCCCTATCATCGTGCACTGCAGGTAATGCAGGGGATGGAGGGGCATTTGGGCTTGAGGGCGACTGAAGGCTCGGACCTGCTGCCCAGGACCAGTCCCATTGGAACCAGCTCCCCTGGACCAAGCATCTGTGTTTTGCAGTGACGGTGCAGGCAGGACTGGGACGTACATCCTTGTCGACATGGTCCTGAACCGAATGGCCAAAGGTAGGTGCAGGGACCCACCATTTCTGCCCTGTCCACGAGCTTGGCCTGTGAACTCCCCTTCTAACACCCCTCTCTCCCTCTGCCCCAGGGGTGAAGGAGATAGACATAGCTGCTACGCTGGAGCACATCCGAGATCAGCGGCCTGGTATGGTGCGGACCAAGGTATGCCCCAAACTGGGGATCCTTTCCCTCCACATAAGCATGCATAGCCCCTGGAGTTGGGCTGGCAAGGGATGCTCATGGCTCCTGCTGTGCTCCTGCAGGACCAGTTTGAGTTTGCACTGACAGCTGTGGCTGAGGAAGTGAACGCCATCCTGAAGGCACTGCCACAGTGATGGCGAGGAACCCTCCCTCCCCCCTCTTGTCTGCCCCCTGCCCTGCGCTTCGCACTCTCCTCACCGGCCTCTTGGGCTGCTCTCCCCGTAAAATGGTGTCTGTGCTTCTGGTTCTGTTCCCCCTGCTCCCAGGCGCCCCATCTCCCCATGGACACTGACCTCAGGCTCTCTGTGTGCAGGAACCCCATCACACCCACTGTCACCGCAGCAGGGACAGGGCTCATGGCCCCTAAGCCCTGTGGAGGGGGACACCAGGTGGTGCTGCCAGGAGCTGGCAGGGGGAGTCCCCAACCTGTCAGTTCTGTGTTAGCCCTCTTCCTGTATCCATGTGGGGTGCAGAAGTGGGGCAGAGGTCCTCCACAGTTGGAGGAGCATGGGGTGCAGGGAGGCCTGGCCCAGCCCCACTCCAGGTCCCCTTTGTGTGCTCCTTGCCTAGACACTCGAGCAGAAGTAAAATTTCTAGAGAACTATAATTTTGTATCTTGATGTGAATAAAGTTCTTGTGTCACGTTCGTGCAGCTGCAGCTGGGCCTGGCCTCTGACTGTGTGTATTGGGATGGCACAGGGAGGAAATATCACGTTTGTCCATCTCTATCCCTGCCCTCTGCCAGACATGTACAGCCCACCTGCAGGCAAACATGAGAACCCTGCATCCCCAGCCCAGAAAGACCTCACAGGCAGAAGCTACTGCAAACAGGTTTATTGACAGCTGTTAGCAGAAGGGGGTCAGAGAGGGGGGGCTACAGCAAGGAGGGGGGCAGAGCCCAGCCCTGCTGGCTGAGCCCAGCCATGCTGCCCCTCGCTGCGTACAGCCAGCATCCCCCAGCAGCCTAATCTACAGCAACCCCCATCAGCCCCCTCTCCACCACCCTGTGGTGCCCAGGGCTTCTCCCCCCAGCCCCAGGTATTGCTCGGCCATAAGCCCTGCCATGCCCCCCCTCACCGCATCCCACGGAGCCAGAGAGTGCTGGGGGAAGGGGGTGGCAGGGGATGGCCGTGCAGGGAGAAAGCGGAGTCCTGGATGGGAGAGCCTCCGTGGGCGTGCGCGGTCCCCGGGCGCAGCAGCCTCAGAACACACCTGGGGAGACAAGCGGAGGGGGGTACACAACAGCACCTGTGAAATCCTCCTCGGCCAAGGGCTGGGGAGAGGCAAGGATGGAGGGAAGAAGGTCCCAGGTGGAGGAGGAAGACAGCCAAGGCAGAACTACGGGCAATGAAGAGGGCAGAAACACTTGTGAACATCATGGAGGGTCACTGCTGCAGTGGGAAGCAAGGAGGGACAGTGCCCCGGAGGGTGTGCAAGGCATACGGGAGGGACTGAGCAAGCAGAGTCTGCAAGGAGACACGGGAGGAGGGAGTACAGGCAGGAACAACAGCATCCAGAGGGAAGAAACAAGACACAAGGCACCAAGCAGAGGCTACGTGCGCAGCCCTCCTTGCAAGGAGGAGAGCTCAACTCGGCACTCCCCGCAGCCTGGGCAGGGGCAGGCTGCAGCCGGGGAGGCACCTGCTGGAGACCCTGCCCACCTGCAGGGCTGGCAGGGAGAGAGGGGCAGGCACAGTCAGAGTATGCCTGCCCATGAGGCTTTCATGCTTCCAAGAGCCAGGGCAGGAAGCTGCCCCTCTTCCTGGGACCCCATCAAGGGGGCCCCTATTCAAGCTACTACCTCCAAGTCTGGGAGCCTCCAACACTGGGATGCCACTAGCCATCCACTCACCTGAGCAAGGAGGCAGGGCAGAAGAGACCCCCTCCTTTGCTAGGGGAGGCAGGAGCTGAGTTCCAAGCAGTGAGACTCCACCCCTGCTTTCCTCTCCCTGCCCCACGCTCAGAGCAGGGGGCAGTGCCACAGCTTCACTTTGGGGGCAGGTTCGTGCCCCTCTGTAGCAGAACTGCTGGCCCCCAGTGGCTCCTGCTCCAGCCTCCCCCGGGCACCACGGGCTCTGCGGGTGGAGGACGGGCTGCTCTGGCTGCCCCCTGGTGCCGACAGGGAGCCGGGGCTGTGCCCACCTGCTTGGTGGTGCCCCGCAGCTTCCATCTCAGAGAGGCTGTAGGCCATGGCCAGCTGTAAGTCCTCATCCTCGTCCTCGCTATCCGTGTAGAGGCAGACAGGTGAGGAACTCGAGGTCTGGTGTGGGGCCTGTGCTGGTGGTGAGGGGGGCCGTGGCCTGGTGAAGGCTTGCTGCTCCCGCCGGCTCAGCTCCAGCCCCAGCGCCATGTCATCAGGAACACCTGTGGGGACAGGGGCAGGGGTTGGGGGACTCATCCACTCCAGTTCCCCAAAGCTGGTGTGGGCCCCTGGCACCTCCAACCCACCCCACCAATCCTTCAGAGCAGAGCTCCAAACCAGGGCCAACCAAGGCTCAGTCCAAAACAAAGCCTGGATGCAGCACCTCTGTCCTAGTTTAGACAACCTCCCAGACATCCCAAAGGGAAAAGGTGCAGATCTCAACAACTCAGAGTGCAGTGCCACTTCTCACCATCAATGTGGATCGACTTCAGTTCCCCATCCTCCTCCACTTCCACCCGCTCCCGTCCATTCTCAATAATCCTGCAGACAGACAGAGAAACAGATGGATGTCAAGGACCATGCAGCCAGTGCACCACAGCAGGAAGTTGCAGGGTCAGAGGCCTGCTGATGGAGGGAAGTCTGTGGGAGCAAGGTGGGTTGGCACTGCCCTCACCTCTTGGTGGTGATACGCCTGCCATTAACAAATGTGGTGGAGGTGGAAACAGAGCGGAAGCCCAGTCCTGCATCTGCACCAGAGCTGAAGGATGAGGCGAAGAAATCTACAGAAGGGAGCAACAAGGTTGGTGCCAGGGTGGGTGGCAAGAGGAGGGCAGGGGACAGACTCTGCACAGGGGAACATGGTGTTCTAGGACTCCCCTGCTGGGAGGAATGGCAGCATCTCCTACCTGAGGATCCTGGGAAGGGAGAAAAGAAGTGGCCTCCCCCATGGTGCCGGGGGCCAGGTCCTCGCAGCTCAGAGAAGGGCATCATGTCATCTGAAAGGCAGGGCCCCCCAACAGCATTACCCCATCACCTTGGTGAACCAGAAGCAGGGCACTGATGTGGGAACCCTCTGCCAGGGCCAGCCGTCAGCTCTGTCCCCAAGCTCAGTGGCTGCCTCACGGACAGAGAGATGCCCAAGAGTCAGCCCCCCCACCCCACACGCACCAAAGAATTCAGCAAAGGGGTCTCGTCCGCCAAAGAACTCCCGGAAAACGTCATGAGCGCTGCGGAAGGTGAAGGTGAATTCGGGGGCCCCAGCACTGGCCCTAGAGCCCCCTGGTCCTGCTGGAGAGAAGACACTCGGTGTTAAATGGAGTCCTGGGTGACGTCTCCCCTGAAGGGAGCACACCAGGTCTTCAGACAGGGATGTATCCAGAGCTGCACTAACTCCTAGGGCCCTACTCACCTGCTCCCATGAGTCCATCCTTGCCATAGCGGTCATAGACATCGCGCTTCTGCTCTGGAAGAAGAAAGGGGGCTGCAAGAAATCTGGCTGCCAGGTGGGAACAGGAGCACTGACACTTCTCCCAACCAAGGGAGGTGCAGAATAGCAGGGAGCAAGAAGAGGCGGTTGGCACAAGCCCCTACCACCCCAGCACTGCACCCAAACCCAAGTAAGACCCCTGGGCAAGAATGCAAAAGCTTCAGCCTCACTGGAGAGATGCCAACAGCTCAGCATCTCTCCCAAGGGCTGTTCTGGGAGACGTGTGAGGAAGTAAACAAGTCCCACAAATTGTGTGGTAAAGCTGTAGGGACCCACTGCCTCCTGGGGACAGCCAGGGATGCAACCTGGGTGAGCCCAGAAGTAGGATATCCCAGTGTGAACAGTCCCAAGGGTGGACACACACATACAAGACGTGACTGTGGCCTCTTACTGTCTGACAGTACTTCGTATGCCTCGGCGATCTCCTTGAACCTCTGCTCAGCATACTCCTTGTTGTCTGGGTTTTTATCCGGGTGCCATTTCAGTGCAGCCTTCCTGTACCTGCACAGAGGGGCAGTGATGGGCACACAACAGTCCTTGGGCTCTTGGGCCAGCAACCCCCATCTGGGCATGCACTTCCCAGCCTGTGGGCAGGGGCACTCCAAGCCCACTTCACCCAGCACCCTACAGCCTCAGGCATGGAACAGGAGCTTCCTGGATTAGTTCTGCCCCCCCGAGAAGAGTATGTGTTTTCATATATAAATATATATATTCATGCATACACATACCAACACACACAGACTAAACAAACAAAACAGAAATTACCCCACAATTGCAGCATGACCACTGCAGTGCAACGTGTGCCCACCTCAGCTGCCCTCATTGATGGCTCTGGACAATGCTCACAGGTTTGTTCTGGAGCCTTCATGGGCTCCACCGTGAGTGTGCATGGACCAGGGGTTGCTAGGGGCCCCCTGGGGCCAGGAGAGCACCAGCAGCCCTCTCCTCCCCACTGCAGCTAGCTAGGTTTAACCCATGCTTCCCAGCTTCTCCCACTCACTCCTGGGAATCCTCCCATGGAGACTTCTGCCACCTCTTGGCAAGCCAGCAAGCCACTGGCATTCCCCTCAGGCAATGCCTCACCCTGGTGAGAGCAGTAACACCAGGCAGCAGTTGTAGAGACTCAGGAGGCTCTGTCAGCTCCCCAGTAGTACCTGGGGCACAGCACCAATCTGCCCACAGGGCCCACATCCCAGGGGACATGCTGCTCTTCACCCTGTGACCTCCAGTCCCCTGACTTTGATGCCAGCAGAGTCCCTGTGCCCCAACCATCTGCCATCCCTGCATCCTATGGCAGAGAAAAAGAGAGGAGCCTCCAAACTCCACTGAGACTCACATCCAGCCCCAGGCTGACAGCAGGAAGAAAGGGACCAAACCCCACCAAAAGATGCCTTTGTACAGCAGCAAAGCCCAACCCCACTCTGGCATCCATACAAAGGAAACAAAGGCTGAATTGTCACCTCTAGAACTGGGCCCTGTCCCCACCGGCCCGAAGGGAGCCCTTGCCTTGCAGGCACCAGGTGGGGGTGGCTTGAGGGACTCTGCCTCACAGGCAGAGGCACGCTGCCATACACTTACGCCTTCTTGATGTCCTCAGCCGTGGCATTGCGGCTCACCCCCAGCGCTTCGTAGTAGTCGACCATGACGTGAGCTGTCCCACGGGGTCACTATGGGGGCAGAACGCAAAGTCAGGGGTCCACAGGCACAGCCTGGTAGTGCTGAGTGTGGGACAGCAAGGGCAGGCTGCTCATCCTCTTCAGCGTTCCGGCCACCCCACTGCCTCCCGAGAGCAATTCAGTGCCACGCCATGCGCAGCTCCCCAGCACCCTGCCCACACCTCGGCCACCTGGGAGCACCTACAGCCTCGATCAGGGGCCCTTTGGCTCCTGCCGCACCGCCGTCCCGCCGGCGTCACCCCACCTTTAACAGGCAGGGGAAAGGGGTCCCCGCAGCCGGCGCCGCTCCCTGCCAGCCTCCCCCGGGGCTCAGTCGCTGGGCGGGGGGACAGCGGGAGGGCACAGCCCGCTAA